CAATAAATTGTCAAAAATCAACGCAGCACAAAAACATCTTTCCATAGCTGGATGATTGAACATGCATCAAGACTACAGGTACATTTCTACTACATAATGCAGTTTACTAAAAATCTGTCTTTATACTCTAGACACCTCAGAAATGACAAAGACTCTTTACACTGGCTGTGCAGCTCATTTTCTATGTACTCTAACACGCACTTATTCAATTGTTGGGGATCTATTAACATTTTTCTAGCAGAATTTTCCTGTCAGTTTGAGAGTTTTTAACTGCTATTTGAATTATTTCAGGAACGTGTTGTGTTGCTCTTTGTGTTGATAATGCCTACTCTACTGGCATTATCTGTAATCAGCTCTGTAAAAGACAACATCACTCAGGTTTGTAATCAAACTGTGTTCATTTGAATTCACAGCTCTGCTCTCCCATCAGGCAGTTGATTTTCCTCCACCAGGTCTCTGAAAGGCTCTTGATCTTATCAGGGGTCTTCTTCCTGAGCGTTAGCCTCTTCTGCTGCTGGATGTTGTTGCTCTCTGTGTACTGGATGCTAGCTAAGATAGCCGAATCAAAAGTGTCCTTCAGGTTTTTCTGAGTCAGTGCTGAGCACTCTGCAAAACTCGCTGCCCCGAGCTCCTGGGCAAGCCGCTGGCCCTCCTCTGTGGACACTGGCTGCTGCTGGTTCTGTGCCAGGTGGATCAGTACTTGAACATCTTCTCTCAGGTCCAGCTGGGTGCCTACCAGGACCACGGGCATGCTGGGACAGTGCTGACGGATCTCAGGAAGCCATTTGGTAGTGAGGTTACGGAAAGAGCAGGGACGGACGACGCTGTAGCAGAGGAGGAAGACGTCAGCATTTTTGTAGCACAAGGGCCGGAGGCTCTCCAACTTCCCCTGTGTGAATATGAAGACAAAGCAGATTATAATCGAGCGGATTTGTGGCTTCATTCAGCGTTTGTGTCAGTTATTCCCACAGAAATCAACATCAGCAGTGTATCTGTCTCGCCTCATTTGTGGCTCTCAGGTCCAAGCCTGCTGACTCCACTGAGGAGATATTCCTTATGGAATAATTATTCTTTTATAACCCTGTTACAGAAATATTGTGATTACTGGTTTTACCTCATAAAAGAAACACAGATAAAGTATAATATATAGAAATAAATAATATAGTTTATTTATTTACACTGATCAGAACTGAGCACAAGTACTTTAATGAGTGTTTTCAGCAGCTTCTGTTATGCTGATGTTACTGCTATTGGTCTTCCTCATACAAGATTACATTTAAGGGGCCATTCATCTGTACATCATTTACGGTGATAAGGACACTCAGCGTGGAAAAGGGTTTTGTTATAAGTTGGAAAGTCCAACCCTATTATTTATTTTATAAAGAACAAAACAACCTGGGTGTAAATCTTTGTCCAATCTATCACTGATTAGTCTATTAGAGAAAGGATGAAGATAAGGACCAAAAACAAACAACTGAAGTACAAACTCACTTATTCCTACAGGGGGCGACATAAACTGGGGGCTTACAGGGACAAACTTGGGATTGGTGGGCAACTCAAACTGAAGGGATGATAAAGGATTTAAGTCCAGGACTTGCTTTTACCTCTGGACTTAAATCCTTGTGTACTCTGCAGGGGGCAGCCAGCACAAACAATAATTGCTAATTTTGGATCCAATGACTGACAACTACTCATCGATCACTGATGACTTACGTTAATCGATCCATCAAGCAGCCCCCATTTCTATCACGGCAACGCATTATAAGGAAGAGAGGAGTAAACTTAATTTACACCGCATGCATCAATATTTTAACTCCAGCTCTCCGATTCA